GTGGCCGCTCCCAGCCACTGCAGCCTCGATCTGCTGGGCTCTGGTGATCCTTCCACCTCAGCCTTCTGAGTAGCCGGAATTACAGCCATGTGCTTCCACGCCTGGCTGATTTTTTGATTTATTGTAGAGATGAGGTCTCACCAAGTTGCCCAGGCAGGTCACGAACCCGCAGGCTCAGGCCATCCACTCACCTCAGCCTCCCAAAGCACGGGATTACAGACTGAGCCACCGAACCCGGCTTCCAGAATATATTTAAACAAACAAACAAAACTCCTACAACTTAACATAAAATCCCAAACAACCATATTTGAAAATGGGCAAAGGACTTAAATATATATTTCTTCAGAGATGATCTACACATGGCAAACAGGCATACTAAAAGATGCTAAACATCACTAATTATCAGAGAAATGTCAATCAAAACCACAATGAGATATCAACTCACACTTACTAGCAAAGCTACTATTAAAAAAAACCCAGAAAATAACAAGTGTTGGTGAGGATGTAGGAAAATTAGAACCCTTGTGCAATGTCAGCGGGACTGCAAAATGGTACAACTGCTATGGAAAACAGTAGGGGGTTCCTCACGAAATTTAAAAAATAGAATGACCATATAATCCAGCAATCCACTACTGGCTATATATGCAAATGAAATCAGGTATCAAAGATGCATTTGGAGGTGGGAGTGGTGGCCCACATGAGCTACTCAAAAGGCTTAGGCAGAAGGATCACTTGAGCCCAGGAGGTTGAATCTAGCCTGAACAACATAAAGAGCTTATAAAAAACAAATATTTGCATAACCAAGTTCATAGCATCACTATTGACAATACTCAAGAGGTGGAATCAACTCAAATGTCCATCAACAGATGAATGGATAAACAAAACATAATACACACACACACACACACACACACACACACACACAGGCACACACAGGCACACACACACAAAATGGAATATTATTCAGCCTTAAAAAGAAAGGAAATCCACATGCTTCAACATGGATCAACCCTGAGAACATTATGTAAGTGAAATAAGCTAGCCACAGAAATACAAATACTGCATGATTGCATTTATGTGAGGTATTTGGAATAGTCAAGTTCCTAAAAAACAGAAAGTAGAAACTTATATAAGGTATCTAAAGTAGTTAAGTTCATAGAAACAGAAAGTGATTACCAGCAGATAGGGGAAGGAGATATAAAGTTTCAGATATGCAAGATGAAAAACTTCTGGAGATCTGTTTCAAACAATGTGAATATACTTAACATTACTGACCTGTACACTCAAAAATGGTTAAAAAGGGGCAGAGGAAGAGGAAGAGCAAGATGGTGGTTTGAACCCTCTAGCAATTGCCCCTGCACAGGAACATCACATTGCACAACTATCCATGCAAGAAAACACCTTCACAAGAGCTGAAGAAATCAGGTGACAGAACACAGTACCTAGTTTTAGCATAATAAGATGTACCGAAGAGGGTGGGAAGGACAGTTTCACATTGCCTTACAGCACCCCCCCCCCAACCCCAGGCAGTACAGCAAAGAGAGAAAATCTGTATGCTTGAAAGAAGGAGAGGGCAGTGTATAGGGAACTTCTCACTGGAACTCTGTACTGGCTCCATGACAGTTAAACACAGCACCAGGCAGAACCCCAAGGTCCTTTATTCCAGGCCAGTGCCAATGGAGGGAGCCTTTAGAACTGACCTGAATTGTACCCCATATCTTTGTAATAAAAATTAATAATTAAAAAAAAAGAATTTTGAAACAAAGTAACTTCTGGGAAAAGAATATAAAGAAAACATTGCCAGGCACAGTGGCTAAAAAAAAAAAAAAAAAGGAACTGACCTGGGCCAGAAGAAAATCCATCACCCCAGTAGAAGGAAACTGAATCCCAGCCTGCTCTACCACCTGCTGACTCAAGTGGTCTCTGGTCCCAATAAATTTCAGTGGCAGGTAGGCCATAGCGACCATGGTTCTTGGGTAAGCCCCAGTGCTGTGCTGGTCTGGGAGGCCATAGGCTTGAGGTAAGACCCAGCACATCATCAGCTGCAGTGACTACAGGGGTGCTGTGTTGTTACCCTCCTCCAACGTGAGGCAGTGCAGCATGGAGAGAGACTCCTGCTGGAGAGAGAGAGAGGAAAGAGTGCAGGGACTTGGCCTAGGAACCCAATTAGCAACCCTGCCACAGCAAAACACAGCAGCTGGCAGAAGACCACAGCTCCTGATTCCAGATCTGTGCTTCTGGATGGTGCTTATAGACCAACCCGCTAGAAGAGAATGTGTCACCCCAAGAGAATGGACCAAAGTCTCAGGCAGCTTCACCACTGGCTGATTAAAGTGACCTCAGGCCTGAGTAAATAGCAGCAGCAGCCAGACAGTCACTGCAGCAGGCCTTGGGTAAACCCGGGTACTGTGCTGCTCTGGGAGGCTAAGGGCTAAGGGGTCAATCCACTGCAGTGCCAGTTGCAGCAGCCATGGGTGTACCCATGCCACCCCTCTCCCAACTCCAGGAAATGTAGTGTGGAGAGAGATTCCTTCTGCTTAGGGAAAAGAAAGTGAAGAGTGCAGGGGATTTTACCTGGGAAACGAGGGAATTCTCGTGCTGGAAACCAGGAGTCTGCATGAGTTGCAGCCTACCTGGGCCTAGGGTGCCCTCTGCTGCTAAAATGGTTGCAGTGACTACAAGCTTAGGAAACTTAGTTCCCTCTGAATTCCTGGAAAGCTCTCTGAAGAAGGATGAGTACAAACATGGCCAGATGGTGAAGATTAGAATAAATACCTAATTCTCTAACACCCAGACATCAACAAATGCTCACAAGCATCGGGAACATTTAGGGAACTATGACCTCGCTAACAGGACTAAATAGGTGCCAGTGATCAACACTGAAGAGATAGAGATAACCTTTCAGACAGGGAATTCAAAATAGCTGTTTTAAAGAAACTCAACTAACTTTAAGAAAACACAGAGAAGCAACTCAGAAATTTATCAGGGTAATTTAACAAAGAGATTAGAATAATTTTAAAGGCCGGACTCAGTGGCTCAGCCTGTAATCCCAGCACTTTGGGAGGCCAAGGTGAGTGGATTGCCTGAGCCCACGGGTTTGAGACTAGTCCGGGCAACTTGGCAAGACATCATCTCCACAGTAAATCAAAAATCAGTTGGGCATGGTAGCACACGCCTGTAGTTCCAGCCACTTTGAAGGCTGAGGTGGAAGAATGGTCAGAGTCCAGCAGGTTGATGCTGGGATGGCTGTGAGCATGCCACTGCACTCCAACCTGAGCGACAGAGTGAGACCCCAACTCAAAAATAATAATAATTTAAAAAATCAAACATAAATCATAGTGCTGAAAAATACAACCAACTGAATTATGCATTAGAGGGTCTCAACAGCAGAATTTATCAAGCAGAAGAAAGAACCAACAAGCTCCAAAACAAGCTATTTGAAAATACACTGAGGGGAAAAAAAAGGAAAAAAATGAAAAAGAATGCCTATAATACCTATGAGACAGCATCAAAAGACCAAATGGAAAAGTCAATTGCCTTAAAAAGGGAATAGAGAAAGAGAAAGGGGTAGAAAAATTATTCAAAGAACTAATAGCAGAAAACTTTCCAATAGAGGGAAAGATACAAATATCCAGGTACAAAAAGGTCAAATATAATCACCAAGCAGATTCAACCCAAATAAGACTACCCCAAGGCATATAATAATCAAGCTGTCAGCTGGGCTTGGTGGCTCAGCCTGTAATCCCGTGCCTTTGGGAGGCTGAGATGAGTGGATTGCCTGAGCCCGTGGGTTTGAGACCCGCCTGGGCAACTTGGCAAGACCTCATCTCTACAATAAATAAAAAAATTAGGCGGGCGTAGTAGCGCGTACCTGTAATTCCAGCTACTTGGAAGCCTGAGGCGGAAAGATCGCTGGAGCCCAGTGGTTCAAGACTGCAGTGGCCGGGAGCAGCCACTGCACTCCAGCCTGGGTGACAGAGTGAGACTCCAGCTCAAAAAACAAAAAACAAATCACTTATTCTGGGCTTCTACAGACCTCAAGAAAAATAATCCCATTGCTATAGACTCATACTTCACAGTATCTTTATAATATGCTCAGGATAATATCTTTAATGTCCTAATTTTTCCATCACAATCTAAGCACATACCCTCTCGTCATATAGTCTGTTAATAAGACAACAAGTTCATCTATAATTATGAAGTCTGGCCTCTAAATATAGTTATTAAATCACCCTTCATCTTTGGCTTCTCTTTTTTTTTTTTTTTTTTTTTTTTTTTTT